TACAAGTTTTCGGAAACGAATGAAGAGTCCTTTATTCCTGACGAAGATATTGTTTTGAAATTGTCAAAACCTACTGAGATTAACTCTGCTAGGTTTCATAATGTTATAACATTCACAGAGGATTTGACTAACTTTACAATGTACTAGTGAATTGTTAGTGCCCTTTTACTTTTTTTTATACTTAGTTTTACATTTTTTAAGCAAAAAAATACTTTTCAATGTTTCTATAGAAATAAAATATTAATATTAACAATATTGTCATGAAATTGTTGTTTTAGTCCACTTTACCCACCATTTAGGTAAATCCCCGCAATAAAAAATAACGAACATTTTTAATTTTTAATTCACCCATTTTCAGACACCACAAAGTGTAGTAATTAAGTTATAGGTAGGATCCCTACTTAACACTTCTGACTGAAATTGATAAAAAATACACCTCCCACTTCCCAAAATTCGATAAAAACTAAAAATTGCGGGGCTTTGCCCCCACCTACCCTATGCTTTAATAATTTCAATGACCGCTGTGTTATTCTTAAGGACATTAATGAAAGTTGATAGTCTGGTTCTTCTGTTGACATCCAGTCCTATGACCTTCCTCAACCTGTGACGTTTTCACTAAATACGCGTATTTCGTTTTGAACATTTTGTAAACAAGATTCAGGTACGGTTTAATAATTTTTTGTGCAACTATTATAAAATAATGCATCGGAAAATAATTAACAATTATAATTTAATACTAATTCGAAATCAAAGCACAAAAATCACTAATATAAGCAAGATAACAAAGAATTGACGCCAAAAAAGCTTACACAACAGCCACAAAACAAGCAAAAAACAGAGCTGAACATGAACATAATCGCTGAACAAAGCCAATCCTTGTTTACAGTACTTTAGAGCAACCTATCCTTGTCATTTACGTGTAAGAGAGAAAGGTTGAATCATGCAAAGGGTACCTTATCATTCCATCCCACATAGGTACTTTGATGTGTTCCATCCACAGACATCGATTCCATCCTCTCTACGAAATTTTCGATCCAGTTCATGGCCCTCTGCTTAAAAAAATAGTTTGAAAAAATGAAAATTTGGCAATATTGTCATATGTAATTTGAATCGTAGATTGCAAAAACCATAAATTATACAGGGTGTGATCTATTTAAAAAAATTAATCTTACAGTATTGTGTGTTCCAAATTTTATCCATCATGGTAGGGAAGTAAAAGCGATACTAGCGCTAGCTGCGTATAATTCGTGCATTTTGTAATTTTAGCATATCAAATATATGTATACATTTTACTTTTTTTTTTAAAAAGTAGGTAAAAACAATATAATAATAATAATAATAATAATAATAATAATAATAATAATAATAATAATAATAATAATAATAATAATAATAATAATAATACCCTCCCTAATTCACCCCCTTACGAGTGAATTTTAACCCCAAAAGCTGAGCTTGTCCGGGGAAAGGGACGGCTATTATTATTATTTGCCGGAGTTGCTGTGTTGAAAATTGTAAAAATACTAGCAAAAAACAGTGTATATTATACAAATGTTCAGTAGCAATAAAGTGAAAATTAAATCAAAGAAATGAATGAATATGTGTACAATAAGAAGAAAAATTACCTTTATTTTTGTAATAATAACAGTAATGCTGGAAATACCTAGTAGGCATCCGAAACTTGAAAGGTTTTAAATAAACAATAAATATCACATCACGATGTTCTTCAATATCCCTTTAATCTTAAATGTTCATGCAGCAAAAGAACTAGATTTCTGTCTTTGATTATTGTATGTGGCTGGAATGCAATTTTGTGACTTACTAAAAAACCAGTTTTAATCATTCATTCTATGTTTTCTTTCGAACAAAATTTAAAATATAAATAAAAATCCTTCTGTTTATACTTTTTAACTTCACGCTAGTTATTTAAAGATATTTTTTTATTTTGACAGAATAGGTTTATTCTTCAAAACCAACTTATTAGACTTAGGCAACTTCTCATACATTTTCCCGTAAATACTGTTGCCTACCTTTATTTTATTATTGATTTTTATTGAATATACTCAATTTTTTTAGTTTAAGCGATAAAAATATATAATAATAAATTAATGTTTTACTTGTTTTACAAACCCATATAATTTTATTAAAACTAACATATATACTTTTTAATTACAAATTCTATTAAAAATTGTATTGTCAGTATAGGTAAAAATAGTCCATTAGTACAAAAGTGAAGTGGCGCTGCTGTCACGCACGGAGCGAATAATAAATAAAACAAATAAAAGCATATTATTAACGTGACCCTAGTCCAATTGTCACACCCGGTATAGTTATCGATCTACAATAGGTTGCTATGCAACAACCAAAAATTACAACTTTGGAACATTTAGAATAATTTTAAATGAAAGTGATTTAATTTAAAAGATGAGTCGTGGGTATGTACCTAATTTGTCACTACTTACCCTTCCTACCTATTTAACTTTTAAAATAACGCATAGATATTTATGTTTTATTTGTAGTAATAATTTTTTGTACCTACTAGGTATAGCTGGCACATATTTTGCACGATCAAAATACCTATTTATAATAACAGTTCTATATATTTATATTAAGGTTTAGTAAACTAAAGATTTATTTAATGATAATGTTCTTTTAAATTGTTTTAAATAAATTATTACTCGTGTAAAACTAATTTGCTCCATCTACCGACTTACTGTGAAATTAACATTTCTGTCGATTTCAACGTTGCCTAAATCTACAAAAATCGTCATTTCTAGTGATCTTAAAATATCGAGATGGTTGGAAGCCTTCTACGAGCAGAACATCAATCTGACAACCTTGCCTGGTAATGCCGTTTTATCAGACGTTAATGGAGATGGGAACTACAATTTAGTAATAACGGATTTGAATTTGGATAAAAATCGGAGCAAGATGAGAGTGTATAAAGGAACGTCATCGGTTGAAATTAATTTACCTGATGTGCCTAATTCGGTTATTTCTTTTTATACTGATGAACTTGAACCTAGATTACCAGGTACATAGAAAAATATTCAATAATTAGAATTAGAGTATATCATGAATTTAAATTTTTGTTTTAGCTGTAGCTGTAGCTTGTGGATCTAGTTTATTTATACATAAAAACAATAAACCATACTATAAATTTCAAACACCAAGTTCTGCTGGATTTCCAAAGGAAATAGATGCTTGGAAAAAAATTTTAGAAGTCAAAAATAATGCTACAGATCAAATAATAGAAGAATTGTTGAAAGAATTAGCTGACATGCCTTTTAACTCTTTAACAAATAAGTAAGTAAAATATTTACAACAAAACTACTTATTTTCCTAACTAGTGTGGAAAGTAACACTTTCTCGCACCCAACTGCCGTTGAGCCGAACGACTCGAAACGGAAAGTGGCTAGTTAACTCACGGTCTTAAAAATAATAAATATAAATCTCGATTTAAGGTCGCAAGAAATATTAACGTCGAATAGAGCAAGAATTCCAGATATTTTAAAAACGGTAACCATAAATGATATTTCTAAAGAATATCCAATTACATGCATGAGTACTTTAACAAAAAACTCCAGTGATAAAGATGAAGTATCTTGTCCAGTTATAGCTACAGAATCTGGAAACATCTATATCGTAGATCCAGAAACGTTTACTATACTTCATCAAGTAAGTAATTAAATTTCTGTTTATCTGTTTTGTATTTTATTTATTTTGTGGTATTACTTAGGCAAATACAGACAGATTAAAAGTAACTCCGTTTTCAATCAAAACAACTGGATCTTTTAATGTCGAATTTAGAATTCTAGTAGCTTGTAGAGAAGGTTACATTTGCGTACTAAGAAGAAATTGGCTAGAAGGAAAAAATATCATCCAAATGAATCATAATATTGTTGATTTTCTCGTTACGCCTGAAGATAATTTTATAGTTGTCGCTACTACAGACAAATCACTAAACTGCTTCACAAAAAGAGTAAGTATTAAACATAAATGATACGAAATATTCTAATAGGTTTTTATAGGGTCAAAAATTATGGTCACTAAAGCTAACTGAGACCATAACTTGCCTCTGTCTGGTCCAAATCGAACATATTCGAGTAACTTTATTCGGAGTTGGTCTTGAAAACGGAGTTATTCAGTTATATCAAGGCCGAAAAGTTGTTGATCAAACTTCTGTACCTGATTCCCCATCAGTGGTCTTATTTGGTCCGCTGGGACAGGAAGATCACGTTCTGGTTATAGTTACAAAAGGTAAGTATATTTGTGTATTAAAAATAAAATGAAGGAAATTGTATATAATCAAACATAGCTTCCCTCGAGATTGTTATAAGATATTCTGTATAGTCCCCAGCGTGTTTAATAAAAAATAAATAAAGGGTCAATATAAGCGTAAAAAAAGAAAAGTAGTTATAATATTTAATTTTTCTTTGAGCTGATTCGAAGAGAGGATATTTTAAAAACAGGATTGTATACCAAATGTGTTATAGCAGTTGGAGAAGCTTTTGCCAGTTCTTCCACTTTATACACATCTATCTAACCGAAGTGGACGCGATACATTGGCGTACAAAATTATTTTATAGATGTTAATAACAATTTTAAGTAAATTGTTTAATAAATTGTATAGCCGTTGAAATTTTGTAGAATTACGATTTGGATATTATAATACATGTTTAATCACTATTTATAGTCCATAAATAGATGCGATTTTACGGTTCCACCGATAACAAATTAAAATTACTTATCTATGAAACGACACTAGCAGGTAAACATTTCTGCGAATTTCTTGAATCCGTCCGACGTGGTTTGACGTTTACCCCCTCTCTCATACCAAAAGTCTTTCCAACTTCTGCCCCTCCCCTGCTATAATTTATAATTCTATTTATAAATATAAACATTCTCCATATTCTCATATAGCGAACTCGACAGAACTCGACTCGTTGCGTTGAGTATAAAATAAATATTAGTTCCTCAGAAATTTTTAAGCGTCCACCTCTAACAATCGTTGCTGACGGAATCAGCTGACTGACAGTTACCAGACGTCACTGACTTTTTTGACCTTGATGTTGTTGTGAAAAAATACAAATACAAACTATTTTGTTGTGAGTGTGTGTGTTTAGTTAGCTCATCAAAATGGAGCCAAATGTAAACATGGAAAGGCAAGGCAGTTGCTTGCTTCTTCGTTCTGCTAGTCAAAATTCGTTAGATGAAAGTTCGCAGAAACACATTTCTCAAATTCACCCTCACACCAAGGAAAGGCCACCATATAAGAACCATCTGCATACTCAGAAGGCTTTCGATGTCATGAACGTAATGAGAAAACAGAAATTGTTGTACGACGTAGTTTTGGTTGCTGGAGATGCAGAGATACCAGCACACAAGATGGTGTTATCAGCCTGTTCACCCTATTTCTTCGCAATGTTTTCTAGTTTCGAAGAAAGCAGACAGGATAGGATAGTGTTGCAAGAAGTGGACCAACAGGCTTTGTTACTTTTAATAGAATATGTATATACATCTGAAGTTAGTGTTACTGAGGACAATGTGCAAGTTTTACTTCCAGCAGCTAATCTACTGCAACTTACTGATGTCCGTGATGCTTGTTGTGATTTTTTACAAGCACAGTTACATCCAACGAATTGTTTAGGCATTAGGGCTTTCGCTGATTTACACGGTTGTTTAGAACTATTATCCCATGCCGAATCCTATATAGAACTCCACTTTTCAGAAGTAGTAGAATGTGAAGAGTTCCTTACTTTATCCCATCTACAAGTTTCTAAACTTATCAGCAGCGATAGGCTTACAGTTCCTTCTGAAGAAAAGGTTTTTGAGTGTGTTGTGGCTTGGGTACAGCATGATTTGGAAGTAAGAAGAAAAAATCTTTCTTCTTTAATGGAGTATGTAAGATTACCTCTGATGTCACAAGAGTATTTAGTGCAGAGTGTGGAAGAAGAGCCTCTACTTAAAACTGATCTGCAGTGCAAAGATTTTATAATAGAAGCTTTGAAGTATCATTTGCTGAAAGGGGACAATAAGACTTCTTTTAGGACTCCTAGGACCAAACCTAGACAACCTGTGGGTAAGTGGTTTCATAAATCATTGAATTATGTAGTTGAATTAGTGTCTGATTTATTTATTTGATAGTTTTCGTCCAAAACAACACGAACTTAGTAGGTAATAATATATTTTGTAAAAGAAAATATATTTCTAAATGATAATAAAATGTGATTCAATTAAAATTATATAATTCTTGTTATGATATTCTGTTTCAAAATGTTTAAAATTTTGAAAAACAAAAAACAAGGAAATGGGTTTTTTATAATATTTTGTAGTAGTAGAGTAATTGTGTTTATTTTTAAACAAATACCTAGCATTTTTCTTTTAGTGATAAAATCGTGGTCGAAACTTTGTGTGATATCTCTTATCAGTTAAAGTGAATAATAACAATAAACAATTTCATCAAAATAAGCAATTTTGCTTCACTTTATGTTGGATACTTTTTCATTACATTAGATAATTATGTAAATACAATATAAGTATGTTTACTTAAGATTGCAGCATATGGAAAACTTTCTTATTTTAGTAACTTTACAGATAAAAGTTATTCTTCATAAAAAGTTATATATGCAACCATCAGGAATCAAATTTTTTCAGATGTAGGTAGGTTCATGGCACTACTTACGACCACCTTAAGGCAAAAATGCTTTTGTGGGCTCTATTTTTCAATAATATTGTAACAGATAAAAATAAATAAAAATACCATTTGATAGGTTGGAGTTTGGAGTATGTAGTTTTCAACAGTATATGTATCTCTTTTGTTAAGAACATTTTTTACATTTTTTTTTTTTTAAAGTAAAAAATTCTTTACTTTTGGCCATCAGTCCGCCATTATTTCTTTACTTATGGCCACTAATTTTTAAGTGGCATTTTTAAATATTAATTTAAGTGCATGTTTTTATTTTAATGTACATGTATGCACTTATTAATGATTTGAATACCTAGGATACCAAAAATTAAAAATGTTGATAAAATATGAAATTTATTTTTCATGAACATTAACACTTCCTGAAAATGTTATAACCAATTTTCAACCTTGTTCTACTAGAGAATGCTTGATTAACAGTCCTAAAACATCAGATATGGGAACAGTGAAAATCTCATTTTCAATATACTGCCCTTCTAAGCCAAAAAGCAGTATCTAAAAAAAAAAACGATTTTTTTTGTTTTTTAACAGATCACATATCCTGAAAAATACTGCATCAGTTTAACTAACAAAAATATCAAAATCTTAATTATAACATAAAGACCTAAAACAAATTTACATATCTCCAGTTCACTTGTATTTACTAAAAGGTTTAGGTGTATGCCATTATTACTAAGCTAAATGACTGAATATCCATTTATGACTGAAGAATTTCAAAATTAATATTCAAAAACAAGAAATAATGATTTAAAGTAATCCAGCGGTACTTAAATATTTTCTTTCAACTCGAGGTAATAAGAAGACAACTTTGGATATTTTCTCGAAACTCGCTTGAACTGAGACCGCTTTTTGGCTTAGGAGGGCAGTATATTCAAAAGTAGTTTTTTCTTTATTTATGCTTTTTAAGCACAGGATTTCTATTTCATTTTCCATAGTTTGACGTACAGTTGCAACATATTTAAACACGGTCGATCTTCTTTTACCACAGGCACTAAATTGTACCAATATAAAGTCGCCCGGTTTTAATGTTTTGTGTAACTGCATAATCACTGCTGGTTCTATATATGAGAAACTGCCAGTGCTATCAGATGCCAATGACATTTCATCTTCTTAGTTAAAAAATTCAATAGCTACCTACCCCTCAACCCACACAATAACTACAGTGGCCATAAGTAAAATATGAGATTTTACTTTTGGCCACCCATGTGACCATAACTCACGAATTCTTAATTTTTAGTCATTACTAATGGCCACCCTGATATTTAGTTTTATTTAAAAAAAAAAAATGATGTTGAAAACAAAATACATTGGTTAACATCTACTTGCCTCTGGAATGGTAAATTTTCAGAAATATCCTTAATAAATCTGATTTTTGTTCAGATGTTTACAGACAAATTCTTAGCCAAAACAATGCTTGCATGTATTACATAATATGCTAACTATCTACTTTACTGGTTTCCAATGGACTTGGTTTATTAGTTCCAAACCTGCCTAATCATGTTACCACATGCGCATTTACCTACTCTAACCACATTTTTGTTTACGTTGTTGCAAAAGTTTATTTTTAGATCTTAAAGCAAGAAGTGGCCATAAGTAGGGTAGTGGCTATAAGTAGTGCCATGACCCTACATGAACTTTGTCAAAAAAAATATTTAGGTTTTTCAGGGCAAGTCCAATTTGGTTCGAGCACAATGGAATATAATAAAATAGTGCTAACATAGAAAATAAGAAATAATTCACATAATACAATTAACAAATTAGTTACATGAAACAGTAAAGAAATAATAAGTATACAGATAATTTAATAAATAATAAATACAAATAAAGAACATGAGATTACATGTGATGTTCAAATATTCAGTTTGAGTATAACTGGTTTTTAAATCTCTGAACAGAACTGTCATTGTAGATCATTAACAAAATTAGCTAGTCTTCAAGGAATTAATGTGTTAAAAGCATAATTGTAAGGGTGAAAGGGTAGATGGAATGTTTGTATTTGACTATAGTCTGAATAAAAGAGGACTGCAGTTAAAGTGGTGATATAATGTCACATTCCATAGATGTACTTTAATATAAATATGGTCACAGCATATAAATGGTATATATGCGCTTCATAAATTAAATATTGAATGAAAAAAGTTATATTATTTTCAAAAAACAAAAATAAATCTCATTCTTTTGAAAAAATTGCTTGCACTTTAACATTGAATGAATTGAATTTAACCAATAAATAATATGGAGGATTATGTTATTAATGGGATTAAACTTTTTTTAATCTCTTGGCATTAAAAGTAACACTTCAGTACATAAAATCAAAGCTAAAAAAATAGAAAGTTCAAAAACTATCTTTAAAAGTCACTGTCTTCACTATAACTGCTGTTATCATTATCTTTTTTGAAGTTTATTATTATAGGGTATATTAAGTCTTCCTTTGCTATATCCAGTTTCCAAAATAAATTTTCCACCTTTTTAACATGATCAATGCATTTTCTCCAATGTTCTCTATTTACATCTAAAACGTCCTTCAAAAGCAAATTTCACACATCAGGTAATTTAAATGTTGTATTGTTTGGAGAAACAACCTTTTAATTGTGACCAGATCAGTTCAATGGGATTTAACTCTGCCTGGTAAGTAGACAATCTGAGAATTTCAATTCCCTTTTCTCGGGCTATCTCTATTATAATATATTTTTTGAATTTGTTTTTATGTTGTCTTGCTATTAATTCTGCCTTCAAGGATTTAGAAGGATTGATAATATTTTTAGAATGAAGCCAATTTAAAATATATTTTTTCCATCTTGTTGTAAGTAGGGACTCCTTTAATCCACTGTAATAGGGCCATTTCTTCATGATAGTCTTTCGTTTTCTTTGACTCTAACATTAATAGACCATCTGACAAAAATCCATTGGGGTTATTATTAAACGATTTCCGTTTCCTGTTGCATTTTTTAATCCACAAGAGACCCCTTCCATAAAGGATTGTTGTTTAGTTTTGATGGAGGTATCTTGCCAAATGTTTGTTTCATTTAAATAAAATACCTCTTTATGCTGTTTCCTTGCGTCCGCTACATAATCATGTCTCCATGCAATGATTTCATCTTTCTCTGTTAAAAAGCTGTTTCTGCCACAAAAATTTAATTTATGTAACATTTTTTGCAGATGAAAATATGATGTATTTGGAAGAGTGGGGCTATTTTCTATTTTTGAGTGTAATTTTTTAAATGTAGAAATTTTATTTCGTAAGAAAAAAGAATGTACTGTGGGATCTTTAAAATGCGTATCCCATATAATTAATTGTAATTGGAGATGTAGTATTCATAGAAGTATAATTGTAAAAAAAAATCTATGACCTGTCATGTATAAAAATGATTGTAAATTTTAAAAGTCATAATAACAGTTTTGTTTATCTTCAAATATTTCCTCTCCTGGCAACCAGGGAGCTATGGTGAAGTGAGCTTAATATTTATCCTGTCAAGACTGCCACAAAAATTGAAGGTTATAGATTTGCGGAAGGTTGATATGAGTAAGGTGAAAGGTAGTAAGTAGTACGACAGTAGGCACTACAATACTTCCCCCTTTTTTGAAATAGGATGTACGTTTAACGTCATTTTTTAATTTTATACTCGTATAATTTTATTAAACGCAAATGGTACATTGGATTTCTTTTTATAAAATTGCGTTGTTGGATCGTCAATACGTGATGGTTGCTTTATGTTTTTATTAACTAAATGTATATATTTTTTTTTTGTTTAAGGCGTTTTTATCTTAGTTTTATAAGATAAAAATTTCAAAACAAATAGATTAATAGGTCAAATCTTTAAATGTTGGCTGGATCCAGAAAACTATAACAGTATAGGTATATACTTCATAGATGATAGTCAACAGGATATGATTTGACTGAATCAATTAAAGCTTTCTTCACTTCGTTAAGGCTCTTTTGATATACGCTTGACCGTTCTTTTATAATTTCAATTTTTATATGAATAAATGTATATGTATGTTAGTATATACAGGGAATTACTAAATTTTAATTGTAATTTATTGATAAATATATAGACGATCAATAATGTTAATTTATTTCAGTTTGTTTGTTTTCTTTCTTCCGTGTTGGTCGATCATAGTGAAGAATAGTTTGTTTTGAATTTGAATCATTTTGTGGCAGCGGGAAAAATATTAAACTCACCCCAGTTTTTTTTTCTGTTGGGTATGTTATTGCTGCAGCACCTTGGTGCTTCATGGTGCTCCATGCTGCTGTAGTGGGTGCTGTTTTTTTTTTAAGTGGATCCATCTCAGGCTGTTCATGCGGGGTCACCAATGTGGGATCTTTAAATTGTAGCAATGTCTATACCCAGGAAATCAGGATCTGGTCGATTTTT